ATAGCATCGATCAATTACTGTATCATTTTTTAACACACCCCTCAATTTGATGGAGGGGGAGTTAGGTCGACGAGTGTTAAAAGATATAAATTAAAATAGTATCAAAAATATATACTAGTATTAATACTTACAACTATTGTAATTAACATGTTAACATGTAAACAACAAAGTTAAACATCAAAATTATATAAGTTACTTAACAAAGTATTTAAATATAATTGAATTTAATAGTCAATAAAAATTCGTACAACGCGTGAGCCAAGAGAATGACTAATCTGTTACCCTAGAAAGTGCTACCTTAGAAACTTGTAATTATTGTCCAATTTTTATTAATTTTGATAAAAATGTTGAGAAATTTAATTAAACAAATATAGTATTGTATTTTATAAATATTTTGCAATTAAAATTAATTGTTATAATTTAGAGCGTTAATCACAATTTTATAAGTTTCTAGGGTAGCACTTTCAAGGGTAGCACTATCTAGGGTAGCAGATTAGTCATTCTCTTTAAAAAATAATGTAAATTTTTAAATAGTATGACAACTATAAGCCAATATTAAGTTTTATAAATATATGCACATATAGATAAACTATAACATTTTGGAATTTACAGTTTTTATTATTAATAAAATTTTTGATATTTGTTAAACATTAGGACACTGTATCTGTAAGAAATGTTGAAATACCTTTTTTCTGAACACTTGCGTGTGCAATTTTATGATAGATCTATTATACAATTAATAAAATCAATCTAATTGACTAAAATATATTATTATTTTACATATTTTAGAATATTAGATTATAATTTTTATTAATAATAAACTTACTAATTTAATTGTAATAAAAATGCTTTATTATAATTTTTTTAAACTGAAAACTGTAAAAATATTTCATAAAATATATGCTTAGATATTTAAATAAACGAAACACATAGCTATTAAGTTAACCCCAAATTATGCTCTTTTAACGGTATATATTTATAATATCATAAGATAAAGTTTTATATGCAGTTAAAAGAGTACAATTTGGGGTTAACTTTTTAACTATTTATAATTATAATAAACCAACATTAAGGGTAAGTTTAAATTAAAGTACAATCACGACAATATATTTATTAAATATAAAAGTAGTTAACCCAAGGACATTTTTTATCAGTCATTAGCACGAAATATAAATACGTCTTAATTTATAATAATATACATTTTACATTTATCCATTTGAAATAGTAAATTAGTAATATTTACTTTATTGATAAGTGCATAGAAATACGATTAAATAAGTGACAACATCAGTTAAATCAAATATGGCAGCACATGATAGATCAAATGCTACTCATGAGTTAGTAACTAATCCTGATCAACAGATATTGACGGAAAATAGACATGGTGTTTTGGTAATTACATTGAATAGACCACAAAAATTAAATGCATTTTCGGCCGAAATGTACGCAAACTTAGGCAAAGCCTTACGATTGGCGGCAACCGATGATACGGTCACTATGGCTATGATTACGGGCACCGGAAAGTACTTTACCACTGGAAATGATCTAGGTGTGTATTTTGCTCTACAATATTTACGGTAATTATTATCAAGTTGTGTTAATTATTATTTAATAATTTATTTGTCATAAATAAAACTATGTATTGTTTTTTTAATACACCAAAACAAATAATGTTTCTCATACAATGAGATCAGAAGTTGTGAAGACCATTTATAATTATATTTGTGATGTATGAATTATTTAAAATAGAAATCAACATGTAATTACAGTTTATTCATAGTCAAATAATTTTTTTAACAACTTATTTTTAATTATCACTACTCTTATATTTCTATTTCGTATCTGTATTTTAGATGAAATAAAAATGTTTAGTGTTATAAAAGTGTAAATAATAAAAATAATTATTTAATAACAATAATCTTAAATTAATATAATATTAAAATTAAAAATTCAACTTTAAGTTGAATATGATTGAATATTATCTACTATTAAAAAATTAATTATTAAATAAATAAAATAATAATTAATAAAAATATTATCACAGGTATGTGGACTCAATCATACGGGAACAGTAATAGCGATATAACCCAAACAATCATGGTGATTAGTAAGCTAATCACAGCACTCATAGACTTCCCAAAGCCATTGATCGGTGCTGTGAACGGCCCGGCCATAGGTATAGGAGCGACAGCACTGGCACTCATGGATACAGTGGTGGCCAGCGATGCGGCATATTTTCACACACCGTTCACATCGTTGGGCGTAACAGCCGAGGGGTGCAGTTCTTACACTTTCCCCAAAATTATGGGCACATCTCTGGCCTCAGATATGCTGTTGTTTGGCCGCAAACTAACGGCTGCGGAGGCCCTGCAGTGCGGACTCGTGGCACGTGTTATACCCGGAGCCGAGTTTAGCTCATGGGTTGAGAAGTGGGTGTTTGACGGGACGACTGGTTTGATAAACACTTGTTATCCAAAGTCAATGCAATTCACGAAAC